TTTTTTTTTTTTTTTTTTTTTTTTTTTTCCTTTTTGTCTTTTTTCGTGACCGGCAACGGATCGCAACCCTCGGTGTTGCGCCCGCACCTTGCTCAGCCAGTGAGCTGCCGGTCTGTATGTGGGATCTGAACCCTTGGCGGGAGCGCCGCTGCACTCCCAAGCGGCGCACTGTAGCAGTGCGCCACCGGGCCGGCCCTGATTAGCCCTTATTCTGTGGTAAGCCTTGGACTGAGAACTTTACACCCAAGGGGAAGGCATTCTCTAGAGGGGCAAATGGAGGGTCAGAGAAGGTTGATGACCTACCTATGATCATGCAGTAAGTAAGAGGCCAAGCAGGGTCTGGAGCTCAGGCTGTCTTGGGCTGGGACAACGGAACACTTGGGGAAAAGCCAGGGATGAGCCCTGTGCTCAGGGCTTTGGCAGAAGGCCTTCTGAAACATGTTCAGGGGCCAGGATCCTGCCTCGAAGGCTGTTGGCCCAGTGTCTCCAAATGACCTGTTGACAGACTGGAGCAGATTGGGGCAGCCCAAGCCAGCAGACGGTGTGAAGTGCTTGGCAGGAGCCGTGGGTCATGTCTGTGGCACATCTCCCTCACATCCTGGGCAGACGTTAGTGGGATGGTTCGTCCCCATGGTGGAGGTTGGGTAGTTAAAGCTTTTGTATTGGAGCGGGAGCTGAGCCAAGCCACCCACTCTTGTCCCTAAGCTCCAGAAGTAGCTTCCTACGCCTCCCGGAGACAGATGCTCTGGCAGGAATAGTAAGACACCACCTCCACCAGCAATCTAAGGGACAGCACCTGCCTTAGGCAGAGGAAGGGAGAGTCCAGGGCTGTTAATGCCTACCTACCTCCTTCTCCACCTTTATTCCTGACCCAACTACTGTCCAAAAGACAGCGACTGAGTTAGGCTCAGGCTGGCCCCATTTTAATTTCAGGGGTTAAGAACTCTTCAGCTCGGGCCAGCCCCGTGGCGCACTTGGGAGAGTGCAGCGCTGGGAGCGCAGCGACGCTCCCGCCACGGGTTCGGATCCTATATAGGACTGGCCGGTGCGCTCACTGGCTGAGCGCGGTGTGGGCGACACCACACCAAGGGTTGTGCTCCCCTTACCGGTGCGAAAAAGACAAAAAAAAAAAAAAAAATCTTCAGCTCTTTCATCGTGGGTGACATGGCAGGGAACCCTGGAAACACATCTAGCATGTCCTCTTGGTTCTCCATTAAACCCTGGCTCAGGGTCTTTGCACCTTAGGAAGTGGTTGCCACATCATTGTGGGCACAGGGGCTGGAGCTGTATCCGAGTGAGTGAGGGAGGGACACACCATCAGCCTGAGCCCTGCTGTCTTCCTTTTGCTTCTTCCTCTCCCCTCTAGGCCCAGGTGGCCTTCCTCCAGGGAGAAAGGAAAGGGCAAGAGAATCTAAAGACAGACCTGGTGCGGCGGATCAAGATGTTAGAATATGCACTGAAGCAGGAAAGGTGAGCCCTCCTGCACCTGCCCCTGCCTTCTGAGAAATCAGTCTCAAACACGAGAGTCAGGAGGGGGATGAAATAAGACAGCAGGTATGATTCAGGATAGACAGCCATGATAATAATCACGGTGATGGTGGTCCTCGGTGTGCCAAATGCTGTGTATTTGTTATGTCATTTATCCCTCTCAGTAGCCTGATGGGAACTATTAGCCCTGTTTCTGATAAGAAACTGGGGCTTCAAGAGGGTGAATGACTTCTTCAAGGACTCCTAGGGCTGGGATAGTAACCCAGTCTGCCTGACTCCAAGGAGTGGCACCAGAAGGCGATCTATGGGACCTCTTCCACTAGGCAACGGGGGTAGGGGGGCAATTCAGCTTCTGAGGTAAGAGAGTGGATTAGGGGGAGGCCCTAAGATTTGGGATTCCTGAGGTGACTTAGCCTTGTCTACTCTCCCACATCTCTTATTCATTAATCCTTTGCTCTTTTAGGGCCAAATATCATAAACTGAAGTTTGGGACAGACCTGAACCAGGGGGAGAAGAAACCAGATCTGTCAGAACAAGGTACCCACCCTCTGATCCTCCCCACTTGCACACTCCTGCCACTGAAGCTGAGTGTGCTAGAGAAGTGAGAAGCTGGGGCACCTCATCCTTACTTTGCTGGGGGCTGGGGATGGGTGGGATTCAATTCTTAGTACCCCTCTCCATAGGCCAGGTGCTGTGCTGGGTCCTGGGGCCAATTCTGCCTGCCATCTCTCTGTGAAATAGAGACACACAGACAGCTCATTGCATCCCTCTGTGAGGAGTGGGAGCTGAGGCTGTTTATAGAGTGCTGTGGAAAGCGTAGGAAAGCTGGTGAAGACTTTACCGAAGAGGCAGTGTTTGAACTGGGTTGTCATTTAATCATTCATCTAATCATTCATCCAAAAAAAACAGTTTTATTTGCGAGGTGCTGGCTTTGTGTCATAGATCAGGGACGCAGGAGAGAGCAAGATAGACCTGGTCCCTGCCCTCTGGTCTCTTATAGTCTAAGCTCCTTGAAAGAGAAATCAGTTCCCTGGGAGGAAGATATTCCAGGTGAGGGAAGAGTGTGATGTTAGGGGCAAGGAGTTAGGCGGTGTGACTGGAACAAATCGGGTAGGGTGGTGGACGGACGTGATAGGTGGGCTGGGTAACGGTGGAAGCTTGGCCGAGGTGAAGTGTAAAGGCCTTACATGCTAGGCTAATGGCGACTGTCATTATCTTGTCAGACTCCTCTGACTAGAATGGAAGCTCCAAAAGCGCAGGGTGTTTACCGATGTAGCTCAGGCCTTGAGCCAGGTACAAGGTAGATACCCAGTAAATACCTGATGGATAAAATACTAAACAAATTATCTAATTTAATCCTTACATCAATCCCAAGAGGCAGATGCTGTTATTATTCACCTAATTTCTCAGAAGAGGAAACTGAGGCTCAAGGCCACACAGCTGGGAAATGGTAGAGCCAGCTTGAACCCAGTTTGTCCATTGTCTTAGAACCATGCCAGCTTTCTGTGTGGGAAAATAGCAGCTAGCTCGGAGTTTTAAGATAAAATTCTTATTTTATCTGGGGGATGGTTTGGGGAAACACTAGTCAAGAGACTAGACATAAGGAGCATTTCAAGGAGGAAGGATCACTGAGAAGAGAGGGGAGATTTCAAACACTCAGGAAGTGACCCTCCAGGACCTGTGACAATGACCAGTTTGGGCCTGAGGGGTGAGGAAGATGGAGGAGTTGACAGGTAAGTGACAGTGCCCTGACTAAGACAGCCTCCTTCTTTATCTCCACCCACCAGTCTCCAATGGCCCTGTGGAATCAGTCACTCTGGAGAACAGCCCGCTGGTGTGGAAGGAGGGGCGGCAGCTTCTCCGACAGTGAGTGTGCACGGGAGGGGGAGGGGGGCAGAGATAAGCCCAAAGACTCCACAGTCCTTCCTGTCCCCACTGGGGACACTGAAATATCAGGATCCTGGCTGGCCACAGCTGGAGTGACCTGGTACCCCATGGGTGGAGCCCCGCCTGGGGAGAGGGAGGCCAGACTAGTTGCAAGAGGTAGATGTAGGGACTCCCACTCTTGGAACGTGACCCTGAATACCTCTGTGGCTTTTTTTCTTGCTTGTTTGTTTTTGCGGCTGGCTGGTACAGAGATCAAACCCTGGATCTTTGTATTATCAGCACCACAGTCTAACCAACTGAGCTAACTGGCCTGCCAACCCTGTGGCGTTTTTTTTAAAGGATAATGTTAAATTACTTTTTTTAATTACTGAAGAGATTTGTGGAGTTTAGAAAACTTGGAAAATATAGGGGTGCACAAAGAAAAAGTAAAAATCACTCATAATTCCACCACCCAAGGAATTTTATACCTCCATGAACATTTGGGCATATGTACTGTCAGTTTCTTCCATGGCTGTTTGTGTGTGTGCATGTATTTTATAAAAGCTGGGATTCCCCTTTCGCTGTTTCATTGTTTTGTAATTCACTGCTTTTGCTAAGTGTTGTGAACATCTTTCCATATAAATTAGTATGATGCATCATTTTAGGAGCTGTGTAATTGTCATATGGATAACCATAACTCTGTATAGCCAATCTCCTCTTCTGTACTTTGTTGAGGTTTTTAATTTTTTTGTATTGTAGACAATGTGACAAACATCAGGAAGGTATTTGTGCATATCCTTGATTTCCTCAAGATAAATATTTGGAAGTGCAATTACTAAAAATGTGCACAAACAATACAGTAACCCTAAAATGATGATGATGATGATGATGATCATGATCATGATGATAATAATAGTGATGCCAGGCCACACTTATGATAATAATAATACACTTAATAATGATGATGATGGCGACGACAGGCCACACTTACCAAGTACCTGTTATGTGCCTGGCACTGTGCTGAACATTTTCCACATGCCGATTCCTCGCATTAAGTCCCTGTGTGATACAACTACTAGCATTCCCCTCATTTTCACAGGTAAAGCAGGCGCAGAGGTGATCTGTTGAAATAAGGTCACATGGTGAACACAGGGAAGGTCTGAGATGGGATCTCTGGCAATCTGCCCCCAGAGCCGAACTTCTTAACCACCCTGCTTCCCAGCCTCTCTTTGGTGAGGAGATGGGAGCTTCAGAGACACACAGGCATTAAAGAGGTGGAACAAGCAAATGAAGGCATGTGCAGCCTAAGGTGCAAGAGGCAGGGTCCAGGCTCTAAAGGGATGAGTGAACAGGAAAGGCTTCCTGGCCAAGTCCCTTCCTGACCAGCAACGAACTGTTGTCTTCTATCTTTTGAAGCCACAGATACTCCTAACTGATTTTTGTTCTTTTCTTTTTCTTCTTTTTTTTTTTTTTAACTTTTAAGCCAATCCTGGCTTCCATTTTTCAAATTGCAGAAGTAATAAACGCTTATTTGTAGAAGTAAGTAGAGCAAGTCATAAAAGTTTCTCTTATGTCCCTAATCCCATTCTCAGGAGGTTATTAAGTTTTGTATATATCTTTCTAGGCCTCTTGAGGGACATAATACAATTGTGTGTCTGTGTGTGGTACAAACTTATGCACACATTAACACACTCTCTCTCTCTTTTAACAAAAAATCCTGAATTGTATGGAATGATAACTTACTATTTTCATTATGTTATTTATCGTGGCCTTCTTTCCTTAGCACTCTGCCATATTTATTTTCTGCCTAGCTTCCCTATCAGTAATTTGCTGACACAGTTCCCTTCATTGGACATTGGGATCGGTCCCTGTGCTTTGGCTCTCCCATACATCTTGGAAACATCCTGTGCGATAGCACTGTGCATGTGTTCTAGGGCTTCCATTAGAAATGGTCTCAAAAGTGAAACTCCTGCGTCAGGGATGTGCTTATGTAAAATTTTGCTGGATACTCACAAGTGGCCCCTCATAAGGCCAAGTTTGCACTGGCCCCTGCAGTTTATGAAGAAGCCCAGGGGACATCTGACCCACACTGGCTCTGCCCTCCTGCAGGTACTTGGAAGAGGTGGGCTATACGGACACCATCCTTGACATGCGGTCCAAGCGCGTGCGTTCCCTGCTGGGCCGCTCCCTGGAGCTCAATGGGGCCGTGGAGACTAGTGAAGGGGGCCCCAGGGCCACAGTGGGCCCTGGGGGGCTCAGTGGTGGTGAGTCGCTGCTGGTGAAGCAGATTGAGGAGCAGATCAAGAGGTGAGCTCTTGGGCCTGGCAGGTGCCTCCTTCTGTTCCTCGTCCCTCCTGATGAAGACCACTGTCAGGAAATCAATAAGTACTCCTTGTGCTCTGGTGGCTCCTTCCCTCTTGGAATATATTATGAGCTTGTTTGTTCTATAACCCTCTGTCCCTTCATTACTGGGAACCCCGGATTCTGTCCTGGGTCCCCTTCCACATTCTCCCAGGGCTTTATCTCCAGCTCCACCGCTCTCTGAGGCTCAGGCCTTTGCACTCCTCAGCAACATGTAGCACTTACTGAAAGCAGGACCCAGCAAGGAACGAAACTTGTGATTGCTGCCCTTGGGGAGCTCTTATTCGTTCATTTTTCATCAGTAATTATTATTCACGAGAATAAATAATGTCATGTTAGGTGATGCTGAGTGCTACGAAGAACATGAAAGGTAATGAGAAAGCGTGATGAATGGTAATGATGAAATAGTGTTACTTTGGATGGGCTGGGCAGGGAGGACCTCTTTGTGGAGGTGACATTTGGGCAGAGAACTGCGTGAAGTGGAGGGTAAGCTACATGATCAGCTGGAAGGAGAGTGTTGTAGGCAGAGGGAACAGTGAATGCAGAGATTCCCAGGTAGGAGAGACCTGGCATGAGCAGGAAGCAGCAGCAGGCCAGTGAGGCTGCAGGAGCGAGCACGGGGGTTGTGGTCTGTGATGAGGTTGACATCTCGGGGTGGATCACACAGGGCCGTGATCATGAGTTTGGATTCTACTCTCAGGGTTGTAGGAAGCCTGTAGTTTTGCGCAGGGGTGTGACAGTCTGCCATAGTAGGTCTGCTTTGAGAAGGAGAGGCTGCAGGAGGGCCAGGTACAAGCACGGAGACTGGTTAGGAGATTACTGCGATGTCCATGTACAAGCCGATGGACGTTAGCAGTGAAGGGGCAAGAAGTGGTCAGCATCTCAATAGGTTTTCAGGGTAGAGTTGACACTATTTATAGGATTGGATGTGAGAGGAGAGGGAAGGGAATATGGGTGACTCCAGGGTTTGATCCAAGCAACTGGGAGTAGCATCTCTTGAGATGGGGAAGACTAGGAGTAGACATCAGGGGGTCCGTTGAGGTCATGTTAAGTTTGAGGTGCCTGTTCCCCTCGTGGAGCTGCTGAGTAGCCAGTCTGGAGCTCAGGGGCATTTGGCTCCTAAACTTAGCTTTATTCACCAGCACATAGGTGTTTCCTGAAAGTCACAGGACATCTGCAGTCACTGAGGGAGCAAGCGTAGATGGCTCCAAGAAGAGATTCCGGGACTGAGCCCTGGGGCCTCTCCCCAGGTTAGGGGCTGGAGGTAGGAGCAGAAGGATGCTGAGCTGGCACAGCCAGTGTTGTGGGAGGAAACCCCGTGAGGAGAATGGTGTCCCAGCAGGGAGCGCAGGGAGTGTTCTGGGAGGGTGTGCAAGAGGAGGACAGAGAAGTGAGTGCTGGGTGTGGCAGCCTGGAGGCAAGAGGGGGCAGATTTGCAATGACCATCCTCCTGAGTAGTAACTGTATACCTGGGCAGTTGACAAGAGCTCTCTGGAGCATCAGCCAAATGGCACAAAAGAGGATGTTTGCATTGATCTGAACTTTGAGTTCCACCCTGCTTTCTACTGCGGAGTCAGGTTTGGCAAACACCTCTTCTCCTAAAACTTGTCGTCAAGCTGGAGGCAGGAGGTAGAAGTAGGAGTGCCATCTGCCCTTGGGAGAGTACAGGCTCCTCGGGAGCACGGGTCTCCAGTGCCCCTGCTTGTCCATGGCCCGGCTGGCTGGAGGTGTCCAGGTACTTGTAGAGTGGCCTGTTCCTCTTTCCTGCTGGTCCCGCCTGACTGTGCTTATGGTCTGACTGGGCCGTAGTCAGTGGCACTTTCTTGCTTGGCTTTCCTTGTGACTCAACACATGCGGGAGACAAGTGGTCAGGGTTGTGGGTAAGTCCTCTGAATCGGTTTGGAGCTCAGTGAGGAGAAGGGGCCCAGTCTTGGTCTGAATGACGGCTCGAGTGGGAAGGAGCCTCCATTGGGCCAAGGCCGGGGTCAGGGTCCTCCTGTATGTAGTTGGAGGCAAGGCGACTTGGGGCTTAAGAGCTTAACTGGATCCAGGTTCTGGCCACCAAGCCAGTGTGACTTCCCATCTGGGTTTTATCACCTGGCAGGCCTAATGCCCCCTCTGCCCCCCTGTCGTGGGCAGGAATGCAGCAGGCAAAGATGGCAAAGAGCGCTTGGGTGGCTCGGTGCTGGAGCAGATCCCCTTCCTGCAGAACTGTGAAGATGAAGACAGTGATGAGGATGACGAGCTCGATAGCGTGCAGCACAAGAAGCAGCGCGTGAAGGTGAGCTCCCTCTGCTCCTTACGGCCTGGTCCAGGTGTGGCCACATCCCCTACCTCCCCAGAGTCCTGTTGTCTTTTGCAGTCAGGCCCTTGCCTCAGTAAACTACAGAGGTTCCTGGGTCTTTACTCTCAGGGGCTTCATCTGTGCTCCCCCTCTTCTCCACCTGCAACCCTATATCTCTTTCCATCCTCCCCTTCTTTGGCTCAGATGTTCCTGAGAGGCCTTCCCTGAACTCTGCAGATGTTCAGCAACTGTGCCAAGTGCTCACAGTTCTTGTTTCCTTGGGTTAGCCTGACCATAGTCATAGTTAAAAGTTTTTGGTGTGACCATTGCTTTCTGTCTCCTCCAGTAGATTGTGAGGTCCGCCAGGCAGGGACTTTATGGGTCTTTTCGTTACTCTGTCCTCACACCCTAAAAAGGGTGTAGAACACAGGTTCTCAGTACATGTTTGCAAATTGAATGCATGTGGCTGGGCCCAGGGTTTGGCCTGGGAGAGTATTGGGTGCCCCAGAGGATGTGGGTGTCCAGTCTGCTGTTGGCGTCAGGACCCAGGCCCAGGGACATTGCCTGTGGGGTAGAATCCAGAGCTCCTCAGCTTGGCTTTGAGATCTGGCTTCCAGCACAACCTACACATTTCCCTGCCAGTCCTTAACTGACAGAGCCACTGTGCTTCTGCCATCCCAAGATACCATTCTTAGGTGTGGCATGGTCTTGGTCTCATCTATCCAGTGAACATCAGTTTGGGTCTTCATGGGCCAAGCTGTATGCTGGCAGCAGGGATATGGAGACACATAGGTCCCGTCCCTGGTGTGGAGCAGATGTGGTCAGCGGCATCCTTGTATACAGTCATGTGCAAAAAGATGTTCCATGTTGGAGACAGAGACATGTGCCTGTAAAGGAGGAGGCTGTGGGAGACAGCCTAAAGGCTTTCCCTGAATCCCAGCCTTCCCACTGGCAGGCCCTCTGTCTGGAACCCCTGTCCCTTCCTCCTTCAGATTCAGCCCCTCCTCCAGAAAGCCTTCCCTGACTTGCCCTCTGTTCCCCTTCCCTCCACAGGGTCAGGGGCCTCCTTTGGACTCCTATAGCCCCTGGGCTCCCCCTTCCTGACCCTGACCACTCTGAATCCTCCTTGTGAGTAACCAGGTCAGTTTTGGCCTCCCCTCTATCTCCACTTGTCCCCAGAGTGGCTTGGCACAGGGTCCCAGCCAGATGAGGCACTTGGTGAACACACTGAGTAGACTGGAACACACAGAGCCATAGTGCTACAGGGGAGGTTAAAGGAACAGCAGGATGTCTCAAATATTGGTCCGCTGGTCCAGAATACCTAATCCCTCCTGCCCCCTCTTGGGAATTTTACTCTTCTTTCAAGTCTTACCTTATATGTTGCTGCCTCTGGGAAATTGTTCCCACTCCTTCTGCTCCTTCCATCAGAAATTATCACTGACTTTTTAATATTCCCTTAAGCCTTTGCATCTTTCTTTTTTTTCCTATATAAAGATGACCGGTAAGGGGATCTTAACCCTTGACTTGGTGTTGTCAGCACCATGCTCTCCCAAGTGAGCAACCAGCCATCCCTATACAGGATCCAAACCCATGGCCTTGGTGTTATCAGCACCACACTCTCCCGAGTGAGCCACGGGCCGGCCCTAAGCCTTTGCATCTTTCTTTTTTTTCCTATATAAAGATGACCGGTAAGGGGATCTTAACCCTTGACTTGGTGTTATCAGCACCATGCTCACCCAGTGAGCTAACCAGCCATCCCTATACAGGATCCAAACCCATGGCCTTGGTGTTATCAGCACCACACTCTCCCGAGTGAGCCACGGGCCGGCCCTAAGCCTTTGCATCTTTCACTGCATTTGTCCCATGTACCCTGTGAGCTGGCTCTGTGTGGGGGGGTTTCTGCCTCCCCAGGCCTTCTGTCTCCACACAGCAGACCTTCAGTGAGGCTTAGCGATGAAGCTGGACCATGACCCAGAAGACCTGCCTGTGACTCCCAGATTGGCCACTGGCCTGGCAGTGTGACTTTGGCCACGTGCTTCTCTTTATCTTAGCTTCAGTTTCCTAACCTATAAAACGTAGCTGATAGTTCCTGTCTCTGGGTTATTGAGGATTTCATTAAAATGAGCTGATTTTATTTTATTTTTTAAAAGATGACCAGTAAGGGGATCTTAACCCTTGACTTGGTGTTGTCAGCACCACGCTCACCCAGTGAGCTAACCGGCCATCCCTATGTGGGATCCGAACCCTTGGCCTTGGTGTTATCAGCACCGCAGTCTCCCGAGTGAGCCACAGGGCCGGCCCAAAATGAGCTGATTTTAAATTAAAATTAAAATGAGAAAGCCCTGAGCTGCACAGTGGCTGGTCCCCCTAAGTACCCAGTAGGTGTTAGTTATTGGTGTTAGTAGTACCTGGTGGTGGGGCAGCTCTCACAGCCCTAAGCAGTGTCGGCAGAACAGGATTGGACAGGGCTCCTCTCCCATGCACCCTTCAGAGCGCCTGTGATGGTTCCACACTTCTATAGAGTGCTGACCCCAGTTGTTGCCTCTGGGTATGCTGTCTAAACCTTGACCACAGGTCTTCTCCATGTCCCATCCCCAGGGTCCCCCCGTGCAAGCCAGAGGCTGGCCCCTAACAGATGTCTGACAGATACTGCGTCCAAGTTCACATCCTGTACATCCAGCTTGGGGGGCTGACCCTATGGGAGGGGTTCTGCCACTTGCTGGAGAAGTTTACAGTCTGCTGAGGTTGCCCAGGGCGTGGGCATAGCTTGACTTGGTGACCTGGGGCAAGCAGCTTCACTCTGCTTGGCCTCAGTTTCTTCATCTGTAATATAGAATAATAATATAATCACAGTAGCTGTTCACAGAGTTGTAGGGGGTTAAGGGAAGCCATGTGTGAAGCTTATTCAGTGCTCATTCAGTAAGTGTTATTTGTTCTTGAGTAAACACAGCAGCTGGTGTGGTGTTTGATGAGTATTTTAAAATTATTATTATTATTATTATTGTTACTATTACACAGTGGTTAAAATGCTGGGGTCTGTTCTTCCTCACTTTAATTGTGCATCTCCATACCCTCTCACACATAAACACAAATGTATATCTTCTGTTCCCCCGATTGTTGTATTATCCGACTTTTCTTCATGAGAGATACCATGTGGGGTGGGTTTGGGGGGGAACAGGAATAGCCTCAGCAAGAGCCAGGAAGAGGGACTGTGTGAGTGTGAGGGGGGCTGAGGGCCTTACAGCTGGAGGTAGAGGAGGGCTGGGAAGGCGGCCTTCAAAGCCAGGCTGAGGGGGCTCAGCCCATCCTGCCCCAGTGACAAGCAGCTGCTGAAGGCCCCTAGCAGGGGGAGCACAACAGCAGAATGGGGCCCTCCAGGGCAGCCAGCTGGTGGTGGAGGCAGGATGCCAGGTCTGAGCAGGGACAGGCAGAAGGCCGAGAACCCTGGCCTACCTATTTCTGCAGACTGGGGTGGGCTTAGTCTCTGGACAAGAGCCCCCTGACTGTCTGTTTTTCTCTATGCTGCAGCTCCAATCCAAGGCCCTGGTGCCTGAAATGGAAGATGAGGATGAGGAGGACGACTCAGAGGATGCCATCAATGAATTTGATTTCCTGGGCTCAGGAGAGGATGGGGAAGGGTCTCCAGACCCTCGGCGTTGTACTGGAGATGGGAACCCCCATGAATTGGGTGAGTTGAGGATTTTCTGGCCAGCCTCTACTTGCCTTTCTCACCTAGGATGGTGGGGCAGACCCTGGGTCCTGCCCCTTCCACTCACAGCAGCAGGCAGTTGCTTCCTGCCCCAAGGTCTCTCCACCGGACGGATATACTTCCTGAGAAAAGAGTGGCCAGGGAGAGCAGGAGGCCCAAGCCACGTGTCCAGACTCCTCACCCCTTGCCTGGAAAGTCCCCTGTGGGGACAGCTGCTGGCAGGTTCAGTTCTTCCTAAAGCAGGACTTCCCGCCTCTGGCCAACCCCAAGGAGGGAACAGGATGACGACCCAGTGGGGGAGAGGCAGGTGGGGCAGGGCTGTGTCTTCCTCCCTGTCCTGTGGCTCACAGCTAGGAGAGCCTTTGGAGATCACATGGATGGATAGCTGGGGACCGAGGCCCAGGCAAAGGCTGTGACTTGCCCACTGCCCCATGGAGGGTCCCAGTCAGCCTCTCTCCTCTGCCCATTCCCCACCCGGTGCCTGAGCTTCACAGCCCCCTGCGGTTTCAATAAGGCCTCGGATGGTGGAGAAGGCATCGTGCATGAGGCTGGGTTGAAACTGGTGGGCAACTCCTACCCCGTGCCTTGTCTCTGCAGAAGGCCGTCGGGTCAAACTCCAGGGAATTCTGGCAGATCTTCGGGATGTGGATGGGCTGCCCCCCAAAGTGACTGGTCCGCCTCCTGGTACACCCCAGCCCCGGCCACATGAAGGTAAGAGCCTTCCACCCCCTTCCCTGGCTCCAGTCCCTCGGGGCCCACAACAGAGGGAGGCTGCAGAGCTAAGCCTAGGGCTTCTTTGTCCTCAGGGTCGAGGCTCAGCCTCCATTCTGCAGCCTCCCTGTCCCAAAAGTTTGTCTGTCTGTCTCTGTCTCCCTCTTTTTGTCTGTCCTGCCCTGTCTGTCTGTCTGTCTCTGTCTCTTCCTTTCCAGCTCTGATTCTTGATCTTGTCCTTTCCCTGTCTCTCTTTTCTTGCTTCTGATCTCTCTCTTCCTTTCTCTGTCTTTCTCTCTCTCCCTGGCCCTCTCTGCCTCTACCTCCCCTCCCCCTACCAGGTTCCTTTGGCTTCTCCTCAGACGTTTTCATCATGGACACTATCGGGGGCGGGGAGGTGAGCCTGGGGGACTTGGCAGATCTCACCGTCACCAACGACAACGACCTCAGCTGTGATGTAAGTTCTTGGGGTGGCCCACATTGGGCATCACACATGATGTCAGCCCTTGCCACGCCCTGACTGTGTGCTGGACCTGTGCCCAGTCCCTTACATGTGAGGACTATATGGGCTCATTCCATAGTCCTAGGAGGTGGCTTCTCTTGCTCACCCCTTAATAAAGGGATGGCAAGCAGACAGGTGGAGGGACATGACCATAGTCACTGAGGTTCAGAGCCTGGAAGACTCTGGAGTCTGTGTCTTAATCACAGTGCTAGGCTCCTCCCCTCTGTGGTTCCTCCCGCCTCTGGCGCATTGGGATGCGGTAAGAGGGCGTCAAGCCAAAAAAAACCAAACAAAAAAATCAGGCTAATCTAGTTGAATGGCACAGTAGGGCTGGAATGAAGGGTCCACTTGTGGCCAGTGTTCTGAGCCTGAGATCCATGGACAAGCCTCTGGCCACCTAGGGACCTTTGAAATGGGTGTGTGTGTGCATTTCCCTGTGGCAGAACAGGATCTCGGTTGGTGGTCCCGGCAAAGTTGGGGGCACTGCTGTAGAATGCTAGGAAGTGAGACAGAGTGGAGGTTTTGAGCAATGGAGTGTGCTGCAGGGCTCCTCTGCTCACCCTGAGATGTCACCCCCTCTTGGGGAGTTGAGGGTGGTGGTGACCACAGGGCAGCAGCTCCTTCAGCTCACAAAAACTGTGGCACAAGTGATGGCTGAGGCAGGGACCTTGGGGCGGATTGAACCCAGATGAAGGGGTTCGAAAATGTGAACTCCATCTTGGGGCAGGGCACTGAAGAAGCCTGCCTGACAGTCTGCTTGTTGCCTTCCCCAAGCCTGGCCCTCCTCAGGTCCCCCACTTGGTGAGCAGCACCACCTTCCATCAAGACGAGTGTGGTGTCTCTGGGATTTACCCACAGAGGCCTGTTGTTTCTCCTCCCAAACCTCCCCCACTTGTGTACTCGTCTCCATCTCCACAGTCAAGGGTCCGGTCTAAATACCTTCGTCTTTCCAAAACTTACTGACTGCTTAAAATTTCTCCCTGCAGCGTCGTCTCTTACCTCCCCCTAGTCTGAGCCTCATGTCATTCCCCTGCTCTAAGCCCCTTCAGGGCTCCCCGGTTCTCTTAGGCTCTTAGGATGAAATGCAGATTCTTGAATGTGGCTCACCATTCTGCTCCTGCTGACCTTTCAGGCCTCTCCTGCCACTCTCTCCTTTGCTTTCTGCATCCAAGCTATACTGGCTCTCAGGCCTTGCTGCCTCCTGCCTGAGGCTTTTGCACATGCAGTTTCCTTCTCTAGTCCCCCTCCCCTTATCTGGCTAAGTCCTGCCCACTTGTCACTTCCTCCGGAAAGCCTTATTGACCCCCACAGAGGTGATCAGGCTGCCTGCTATCTCTTCCTCGTGTATTTTTAATTCATAGCACTGCTCGTAGTTCATAGTCCTGTGCACTTGTGTGATGATCTGATTGTCTCCCTTGATCCCTCTCTGACGTGCGAGACTTGAAGGGTTCACGCTCATCTTTGCCTCCCCAGAACCTAGCACGTTTCAGGAACTTATGGAGTGAGTGAGAGGACTCTGCACGGCAGAGAGGAAGGAGAGAGCATCCCGGGATTCTTTGGAGGGTGGGTGTGGGGGGAAGGGAGGGGTCCCAAAGTCCTAGGTGTCAGTGTCTGCATGACTGCCAGGATGGACGAGAAGTCACTGAGGCAGCTCCCCTCCACCCCAGCTGTCTGACAGCAAAGATGCTTTCAAGAAGACATGGAACCCCAAGTTCACCCTCCGCTCGCACTACGACGGCATCCGCTCCTTGGCTTTCCACCACAGCCAGTCGGCTTTGCTCACTGCCTCTGAGGATGGCACGCTCAAGCTTTGGAACCTGCAGAAGGCAGTTACAGCCAAGAAGTGAGGGCAACAGTCCCTGAGCAGGGGGCAGGGGCATCTGGGCCCAGGGGACAGGGAGTGACAGGGGTCTCCGTGACATGTGGCTCCTCTGTCTCTCCACAGGAATGCTGCGCTAGATGTAGAACCCATCCATGCCTTCCGGGCTCACAGGTAGGGAGGTGCCCTTGAGTCTGCTAGAAACCTCACCTCCAAAGGTAGTCCAACCCCTGACCAACTTTCTGCCACCCCAGGAGGCCAATGGCAGGAGAGAGGACAGCAGGAGGCCTCTGAGTCCCTGTGCCCGTCCTGTCCTGTATATCTCTATCCTCTGTACGTGCATGCAGCCCTTCAGTGGAGGAAACAAAGGTGGGGGATGGGAGAAGGCAGGAGACAGGCAGCTTGCATGGGTGGTGCACCAGATGCCGATTTCCTTTTGGCTATCCTTGGAAAATGCTAGTAGAGAATTTCAGTGTCCTGTAGCTGGGGAAAGTTTTGAATGTCCTTTCTTATCCCCCTTCATCCACCTTTGTATCCTCCAGAGGCCCTGTGTTGGCAGTTGCCATGGGTAACAACAGCGAATACTGTTACAGTGGTGGGGCAGATTCCTGCATCCACAGTTGGAAGATTCCAGACCTCAACATGGACCCCTATGATGGTTACGGTGAGGACAGTTCCCCTCACTACTTCTTCCTCACCCCTGTCCCCTGGGGCCTCATCATTCCCTCCACACTCACACATTGTCTACCTTGTACGACAGTGCAGGCACCAGGAGTGTTCGTGAAGGGGCTCCCACTCTGGTTAGCTGTGGAGCAGTGTGACTCAGCCTGTGGCTGCGGGATGGGCGAGATGAGGCAGGACTGAGGGTGGGAGATGGTGGTTGAGCTGACTCTGAGAATAGCATGCACTGGCTGCTTGGCAGACAGAGGCGGGGCTGGCCCTGGCAGCGCTCTGTGATCAGGGATCAGCCAGAGTCCTGACGTGGTTGAGTGGAGGGAAAGCTTGAGGAGAAAGTAGAGAAGGTGGAGTTAGCTGGGCCAGGTTATAGGGATTTGGGGCTTTATCTTTGGGGCACCTTTAAAAGTTTAGTGGAGAGTGACCAGACTGTGGCTTCTGTTCACTGTCCATCCCTCCGCTCTGATACCTTTTTGATCATGCATGTGCCCTTGTGCTACATTTTGTCATGGTAGAATTCAGAGATCTGTTATCTCCTCTCAAGGAACATGTACCATTTTCCTGAGAACAGTCTCACCCTGCAAAAGGTCCAGGGTCAGTCCTAGCTAAGCAAGCGAGCACACTTTGGGTGTCAGTGGGGCTCAGGCTAGAGCCACCTGTGTGGACTCTAGTGGCCAAGGAGGCAGTGGCGGGGCTTTGGAGAGACTGGGCAAGGTTTGTGCACTTGGGCGTAGGCAGAAAGGACTGCCAGGCCAAGGGTGGGGCCAACTTCAGTGAACAGAGGCTGGGTGTCCACCTGCGTGGACCAGAACCACCAGTGTTCCTTCTTGTCTTAACTGAGTCCTAAATTTTATGCATTGAGTGCTCAATTTCTGGGTCCTGGGGAGACATCAGGGAACAGAGGGAAAATTCTTGCCCTCTGGAGCTCCTAGGGTGGCTTCAGAGCTCTAGAATCTTTCCAGAAGAGCTATTGATGAGAGTGTGAGCAGCTGCCAGGCACAGGTTGCAGTGGTGGGTAGCTCATGAGAACCAGGGTTCTGAGTGTGATGCTGGATGGACAGATGGCTTGAGCCCCGCCACTTGGGTCTTTGCTGGGCTGGAGCTCCTGGGCTGCCTTGGGTGGGGCTGGCTACCCTGACACAGCCTCTTTCCTCCTGCAATGGCTCTAGACCCCAGCGTGCTAAGCCATGTCCTGGAGGGCCATGGGGATGCCGTGTGGGGCCTGGCCTTCAATTCCACCTCCCAGCGCCTGGTCTCCTGCTCTGCTGATGGCACCGTCCGCATCTGGGACCCCAGCAGCAGCAGCCCGACCTGCCTCTGTACCTTCCCCACAGCCAGTGGTGAGTGGGGGAACCCTGGCACCTCACCTGGGAGTGGTATAAAGCCGAAGGCCATCGGGGTGGCTCCCGATGAGGGTTTGGCTTCCTGACTTGCAGTTTCCCTCCCCCAGTACAGTGCTCAGTGCAGGTCCCTTAGGCAGCCTTCTCTTTCCTCTGCCCTCAGAACATGGGATTCCCACCTCAGTGGCCTTTACCAGCACCGAGCCTGCCCACATTGTGGCCTCCTTCCGCTCTGGCGACACTGTCCTGTTTGACCTGGAGGCTGGCAGTGCCCTCCTCACCCTGGAGTCCCGGGGAGGCAGTGGTAAGGGGGCCCCCAAGCCTGGAGCTGAGCCAGGTCAGTGGAACTGGGGCCTGAATGCTTCCAAGGCCTCAGTTCTTTGTGTGGCTTTTGTGACCCAGTTGCCAGTCAGCTCAAGATGAGTCCCCTGCACTTTCAGGGGCTTTGAACAGGAAGGAAGTAAGGTCCAGTGGAGGGGCCCAGCCCCTGCCCATGCACACAGCTCCAGGCTCTCGGGGGGTTGGGGTGGGGGTGGGCAGTGTGTCATGGATGCCCCATTGGGTTCACTTGATAGACTGGATGGAACGTTCTCATGTATGTTATCACTGCTTCCTCACCCCCAACACAGGACCCACGTGCCATTTTGCAGAAGCAACAGTATGGCCCAGGGAAGCGAGTGGCCTGTGCGCCCAGCCCACTTGGATATCTAGGCAGAGGCTCGAGGGTGTGGGGTCATCAGTGCTCCTCTTTTGCCTCTGTCCTTGTCTCCCTGATTTTCCGCTCCACATCCTTCCCTCTCCACCCCTTTTCCTTACAGGCCCAACCCAGATCAACCAGGTGGTGTGTCATCCAAACCAGCCCCTCACCATCACCGCCCATGACGACAGGGGCATCCGCTTCCTGGACAATCGGACAGGTGAGGGGGTGGGGTGGAGCAGACTTAGACAACAGAGATTCTGGTCCACACTGGAGACTCTCCGAGCATCCCCTCCAGCCCTTCACCTTCCCAGGCAAGGCACAGAGTGGCAAGGGAACCTGCCACTCACTTTCTCTCCCTTCAGGTAAATCTGTTCACTCCATGGTTGCCCACCTGGATGCTGTCACCTGCCTAGCCGTGGACCCCAATGGTGTATTCCTGATGTCAGGAAGTAAGTTGGGACCCTCTTGGCTGTTTCTTCCCCAGCAGGGGTGCAGCAGGCTGTGTTCACCAGGGTTGGGGAAAAGAAAAGAAGACCTGGGCACTGGCCCTGGGCGAGTGCTCCAGGGCCTTCTTGAGCTGGGAGATGGGGGAGCCTGTCAGTGGCAGGAAGAATGGTGGTTGGTGACAGTGGTAACAGCATAGCACTGTGTGCTCAGAGCCCCCAGGAGGCACTTAGCTCAATCTTCTCGTTTAATCTTCTCATAACTCTATTCAGTTGGTACTTTCATGTGTGACCTGAGGCTCAGAGAAGTTTCGTACCTTGGTCACAGTTTAGTGTGTTGCAGGACTTGAAGTCCAGCTCTATCTGACTGAATCCCCACAGGGATTTTGAGCGTTTGGTCCCACGCTGCTTTCTCTGGGTAAGGGCACTGAAGCCCAGCAACTGTGGGGCTATGCCTGGAAGAGATAGGGAGGGACTTGGGCGGGTGGAGAAGGGCCTGGAGCTCCCCTCTTCTCTGTTGCTCAGCATTAGGACCCCATCAGACCCTTGTCAGTGGTGGCAAGTGAATGAGTGCAAGAGCGTGTTTGTGTGTGCATATGAGGGCAGAGGTGCAAGTGATGGTAGTGCAGGGTGTGGATGGGCTTGTCGTGGGTCACAGCTGGGCTCTGCCTCCTCACCATATGGTCATTGGGGAGTGGTCATCAGGAAGTGGTCATGGGGGAGTGGTCTGGCCCTGGGCCTCATCCTCCACCTGCCCTGTGACAGTAGCAGCTGTCTCCTAGGAGGATGGATGAGTGGCTCGTACGTGAATCAAGCATGGTGCAGAGAAGTTATAGCACTGGGCTCGGGTCCCCACAGAAAAGGCTCAGTCTGGGGAGTTATTAGGACAGTGGAGAGCTGAGCCTTCATGCCACTGGCCTCCATCTGGTCTCCACCACAGCCAGCCTGATCCTCCTAAGGCATAGATCAGTTCATCACCCTCGTAGCAAAGCTGGGGTCCTCACCATGGCCCCGCAGCCCTGCCCAGGCAGCTCTCTTACCTCCTCCTTCCTCTTCTTCACTCCTGCTCCTACAGCCATACCTGCCTCTGTCAGTCCTCAAAGCAGCAGGAGCTCCTGCCCTGGCTGGCCCTGCTGTCTGGAGGGTCCTTTCCCTCATTTCCTCCTTGGGCCATTCTGTCCTCACACCGATCACATGGTGTCGCTTTCTTCTGTTTTCTTGTTTACTGTCTCTCCCATACTGCAGTGTGGATAGGGGAGGGAGGTTGGCTTGTTTTGTTCACTGCACTCCCAGGGCCTGGTACACACTAGGTAGTCCATAAATACTTGGTGGCTAGATAGATGGTTGACCGGATAGAACAGAAGAGTTCTCCATTGGACATCAGGAGGTGACTGGGCAGAGGGATTGGGGGGTAAGGGTTTGAGCTCCCACCCGACCCCAGGGCATCTGGATGAAGCCAGGTGAGGGGTTCCAGAGCCGGGTCTGAGAGAGGAGCTTGGTGACAGTCCCTTTTGCTCCCATCCCTGTGCAGGCCACGACTGCTCCTTGCGTCTCTGGAGCCTGGACAACAAGACGTGTGTGCAGGAGATCACAGCCCACCGAAAGAAGCATGAAGAGGCCATCCACGCTGTAGCCTGTCACCCCAGCAAGGCCCTCATTGCCAGTGCTGGCGCTGACGCCCTGGCCAAGGTCTTCGTATGATGCCCACCTGGCCGACACGCTGGCTGGGGAGTAGGGCTGGGCAGGTGGGGCTGAGGTGAGGGCCAGGGGCCATTTGTGCTCTGGCCAGGAGGATAGAAACCCCCTGCATCCTCACCTCTGGTGGGCCCCTGTACACACCTTTTGCCTGGCAGTTCCAGGTTGTGCCAAGTCCCACTATCCAGTCTCTGGGTAGCCCCTGAGCATGCAGGGGAGGGACTTGAGACCTAGAGAGGGCCCTAGAGGTTGTGGTCTAGTTTCTCCTCCTGTCTCCCACAGGTGACTCCCAGCCTCACTCCAGAGGCTCAAGTCTCTTCCCACCTGCCATGGAGCCTGGTGGTGCTAATGGCCCGTTCCCCAGGAATCCCCTCCCCCATGGCTCCCCTCCCCCAAACATCCACCCTTGAGGATGGACTCTTAGGGTTTTCTCCCATGCCTTGTCAACTATTTCTGGTCTCAGAGCTGTGTTCTTGATGGTAGCACAGCCAGGGCCAGGTTTCCCTGAGGGTCAGTTTTTCCATGATGCCAGAAGGTGCCAGGTTTTCCCCTCCTCTCCATCCTCCCAGACCTGGGTGGGAGCTGTGCTGGGAGGAATCCCCAAATGCTTCTTTCCCTGGGTCTGCCAGGGGCCTTGGAGCCAGCTGGACCCCAGGCCGTCCTCACTGGGAGCACAGGGCCTGGTCCACCCTTCTTTCCAGTCCCCTGTACCCTGCTTTCCAGACACTAACCAATGCCTCCTAAGCCAAGAACTACCTGAGGGAGGGTGACTCCCCATCCTCCCTCAATATTCCTCCAAGGGCAACCCTCCTAGCCTCCCACAGGGTAACCCATAGGGAGAGATGGCCTTCTCTCCCCCGTCCCTTGGGTGTGGAGGGTGGAGTGGGGTCCCCAGGGCCCCCCATAACTCCCTGTATATCTGTATAAATAAATGGGATTTTAATGGAGCCCCATCCCTGTCCATGTTATCACTGTGTGATAGTCTTTGTCAGTCTGCTGGCCCTCCACTCTTTTCCTCTATTTATTTCACTCTGTTTGGGTTCCACCCTGAGCCCTTGGTCCCCCTTCCAGGTTCCTGTTTTATGAGCCCCATCCTCTCTGCCCCAATCTTGTATGTGAAAACTTGTCTCAATAAACCCTTTGGAATAAGATGGGTGCCATTTGTTGAGGGGATTGGGGACTTTGGGGGAGGAGTAACGGACTCTGCCTGGGTTGGGTGGAGTTTGGAGAAAGGGGATATGATAAGTTGGGGTTTTGTGGTAGGGCAAGGGGGGTCAGAAAGGGGCCCAGAGTTTGGGTGGAGTATGGGTGGAGGGGCGGAAATGGCATAAGACCGAATCTCCTTCTGCCCCTCCTTTCTGTCCCTAAGTGCTCTCTCCCCATGGGCACATGCTGTGATGTGACAGTTCAGCTGAAAACTCCCTGCCCATGGGGGGACGTGTGATGGGTGGTGGTGAGTCCAAAGGTCTAGTGCCTGGAGGATTTAAACCCCTCTTCCTCCCTGCCCCATGCCTGGGCACATGCAGAGCAGGAAGGGGAAGCCCGACACCTGCCAGCTCTCAACGACTGGCCACAGGCTCTGCCATGCTGCGAGGGTCCCAAGGAGGAGATGCAGGTGCCCGAGCACTCATAGCTGGCGCCTTGATGGGTCCTCCCTTCCCTTCTCAGTGGTCAACGTTTACTGTGCACTTACCTGGAGCCAGATCCTGGGCTCAGCCCTTTACATGTTATTTCCCTGGTCCCCACAACCTTAAAAACCGGAGACCTTTATTGTCCACGTGTTACAGAGGATGAGGTGGAGGAGGGTGGTTGGCTCACAGTCTCTAGCAGGTCATTGGAATTTGTATCCAGTCCCATCTCCTGTTTGCTATGAGGCCTCCACCACCTACCAGAGAGGTGTCCCTCGGCAAGTCCCAGCACCTCTGGGCCTTGGTGTCCTCTGTAAAATGGGCATGATACTAATTCCCACCTCCTGGGTTATAGCTTGGGATGTGTTAGCATTTCACTGCGATGGGCATCTGCTCATCTGGGAAAAGGGTGCAGGTGAGCAGATGGCTGTTAGGTGACACTAACAGGAGCCTGGCTATGGGCTCCAAGTGGCCTCGCTCTCCCCTCATCCCGCTGGGCTCTATGCAGCTTCCCCAGGTGGTGGTTTGGGTTTTCACTCCAGCCTCAGACTTCCTTCCCCAGCCCCAGCCCCCGGATGTGGTGACAGAATCGATACTGTACAGACCTCAGCTCCTCCCAACAGCTTGTACCAGGACAGTGGGCTCTTGTTGTGGCCCCCATCCCCAGCCAGCCCTGCTGGTTGAGGATCCAGGCCAGGCAGGTGGCCCATCTCTATTAGGATGCCCCTGGAGCTCCAACCTAAGCCTTGACCTGTGAGTCAGGAAGGGCATGGTGGGGCAACTTCACTCAAGCAACTTTACCTGGTGATCTTGGACAAGTCATTTTGCTTCTCTGAGGCTTCAGCTTCTTGTATGTAAACTAAATGGTAGTACTAGTACTTGACTACTAGCTGGGAAGGAGAAACCAAGTCTGAATTGCTCCTGAAGAGGGGCTGGCACACAGACCCTCAACAGATACTTGGTTACTGCATGACTAGCTGAATGAACATACCCATCCATAAATGCCTGAGTGCTTGAAGAACCCATCCTTTTCCCTCTGCAAATTATTATTATTACTTTTTCCTTTTTGCGATCCGTGTCCGGCAACGGATCACAACCCTCAGTGTCGCCCCCGTACCGGACCAGGACCGGCAACGGGATCGCAACCCTTGGTGTTCCTCCCGCGCCTCGCTCAGCCAGTGAGCGGGAACCGGTCTGTATGTGGGATCCGAACCCTCGGCGGGAGCGCTGCCACGCTCTCAAGCAGCGCACTGTAGCAGTGCACCACCGGGCAGGCCCCCTCTGCAAATTATTTGTGACAGCCACCATTTGCTGAACTTTTGCTGTGTTCCGGCGACCTGTATACCACCCCATCAGTCCTCACAAAGACCATCTGGGGTCAGTCCTATTACAGTCCCATGTAACAGATGGAGAGACTGAAGCTCATGGAGAGGAAGCCATCTACCTAAAGTCATACAAAGAGGCACACAAGTCCCCAGAAGACTGTCAGTTTGTCTATGAAGTGGTATGGGCATGTTGTCCTCTCAGGCACCTCCAAGTCTTTGACATTCTGTCGTCCTAAGGAGAGGTGGCTGCTGAAAAAAGGAAACCACAGTCCCTCCCCACCTGTACTCTTACCTCCCTGCACCTTGCCCAGGGTCACTGGAGACAGACCTGAGGCCAGGCCCTCCTGCTCACCTGGAGGCCTAGGTCTTCCCCAACTGTGTACTGGGCTGGGAATGCTCTGCAGCACACCTTCCCCTGGACTGGGGTGAGGCTGGGGCCACTCTAGGAAGAGAAGCCCGACATCCTATTTCTCTCCCCTTCCCCTGCGGTGGGCGCCGGATGCAGGCCAGCCAAGACGGCTCCTCTCCTTAAAGGGCCAAGCGCCTCCTAGCTCCGGTCCCCGCGACCTGTGGTGGGGCTATGGGTAGCGTGCCCCTCCCCGTCCAGCTCTGGGAAAAGTTAACTTTCCAGACTTGATGCGTGGGGGCTAGGAATCAGTCCTGCCCCCCATCTCCCACCCCATCCTCGCCCCCCGACCCGGGCTAGGGAGGTCCCGCCCCCAACTCAGAGGCGCCGGGCCCGCCCTCTCCTTCCGCCCCTAGCCCATGATAGGCTCCGCCCCTCCCTGGCGTCACCGAGGCCCATGCGGATTGGCCGACTGCGCCATCGCTCCGGACACTTCCTCCTGGGCCGCGGCCGCCGACTTAAACTTTGGAGGGGGGAAAAGAGCTACTGGCGCGGGGCGACCCTTCCTTGTCCCCACCCTCCC